CGCTGTTAAGTTGGAGGCCATCACTGTTAAGTTGGAGGCCATCACTGCTAAGTTGGAGGCCATCGCTGTTAGGTTGGAGGCCATCACTGCTAAGTTGGAGGTCATCACTGCTAGGTTGGAGGCCATCGCTGTTAGGTTGGAGGCCATCACTGTTAAGTTGGAGGCCATCACTGTTAGGTTGGAGGCCATCACTGTTAGGTTGGAGGCCATCGCTAGTAAGTAGGTTGGAGGCAATCACTCTTGGGTTGGAGGTCATCGCAGCAATTCTGGTCCTTCAATCTGGCAAAGACTTTGCAGCTTCATTTTCAATGTAGTCACCGTGTCGCCCTCTGCGAAGGTCAGCTCGAAGCGTTCCCCCCCCGGGTTTCAGGATGCTCACGCTTCGGCTCATTGCATCCATGGCTTTCGACTGCTGATTGTAGCCTAAACACTCATAGGTTGGAGGCCATCGCACTTAGGGTGAAAAGGCCATTGCTTCCAGGTTAACCTGCACAAACACATTGCACACTTCTGCAATCTTGTGGTGATTGAAATATGGCACCAGGACCGGCACCAGGTGTCTTTTGCGAACACTCATGCTCCGCTGGGGTTGCAACTCCGGTGTAGTACCTTTCAAGGCGAGATTGTGTTGGTAGAGCCAATGTGGCATGGAAAAATAAAGGGCAAGCTTGAGCCAGAAAGGTTCAACTGGGAAAGTCAAAGGATTCAAAGAGTAATATCAAGCAATATCAATTTACAATCGCGTTTTTGCCTACGAGTCTAGCAGTCTAGCAAATCACTTGTTTGACCTTCTTCATTCTTTGATGGCCCGCTGAGCACCATCCAAAACTTGCCTTTCCTTTGCAAGGCACCTCATCGCACTCTTCATCCTTGCACTCCCAGTGCCACTCTCTGTCAGTGCCACTCTCGTGTTTCCGCAGGTGTCTCGATTTCTGTGGGACCGGCCACCATCCCTCCGTCGGACACCCGACGCGCCGTTTTGCTCGACACCGAGGCGCAAGAGTTCCTCGACCACGCCGAAGTGCTGAAAAGCCATGCCACCGCCGCCCGACAAACACAGCGCGGTGCGGCCGAAGGTACACACCGCCAGTTCCGTGAAGCGCTGCAGCTGTGCCTCAGGTCACCGGAAGCTGCGGGGCAGCTTAAGCGCCCAAGAAATGCTTTCGTGAACTATGCACGAATCTGTGCCACATATGGAGATGATCGTCAGATATATGACATCTCATCTATATGAGAAGATTAAAGGAGCATGTTTCAGCATGTTTTGACATGATTCGCTTGATTTCGTGGTATTCACCATGGGGCCGCCAACCGCCAACCAATCCTTGAAGTTTTGAACCGAGCCTTGATCAAATGCCAACAAATCCAAAGAGAGCATTTGCTCATGTGTGCCCTGCAAAAACACACTTGTTCACCCGGTGGCTCTGCACATGGGTCTCAATTCGAGGACAGCCAAAGTGCTAAAAGAGCCTCACTCTCCGCGTCATTGATCGGCTTGTTGGCCACCTGCACTCAGCATATTCAGCAAATGCTGACTTCATCTCTTGCCTTGGATCATGCAAACACCTAGGTGATTTGGAAAAAAAGTAGTGGCACGTAGTAGTGGATGTTCTTTCAAAGGCTCATTGTTTGTCATTCCTTTTTACAATTGATGTGATTCAGCCCTTTCCAGCTGAACATGAGCTCCCACGCCGGGCCTCGTGTCGTAGCTCATCCAAGCACTTGACAACTACGTTACCTCAGTCTCTACCAGTCAGACTGGCAGTGAAGGAATTGATGATTCAATGAACACTGTCCGATAGGGTCACAAGCGGCTGCAGAATTTTGCTCTCAGAGTCTTCAAGAGCTCGCCCTCTCGCTCGAAGTCAGTATAACGATGTTGATATTTATGTATGTATAGATAAAGAATATTGAAAGTCTGCATAGTAGGACATCTGACATGTGACAGGACTGCAAGTTCTTGACCAGCGCCGTGGCCACAGAATCAGCGCTGAACCCAAGGCCAAAATACAGTAGTCTTCAATCAAATGCTTCGTTCCAGTAAATGTCTTGGCATAGAGGGCTTCGTTCAGGTGCCCAGCATAATTCGTGTCCTGCAAGACCAACGAAGGCCAACAAAGGCCAAGGGCCTTTGGCCTCCAACCTAATAGCGATGGCCTCCAACCTAAGGCAATGGCCTCCAACCTAATAGCCATGGCCTCCAGCCTACTAGATGGTTGCATCTTTCGGGTAGCTCCTGAAGGCGTTTCTGCAAGGCGCGTAGGAGCTTGGGCCAATCCCTCTGCTCTTGGAGACTTTGCAGTTCCACCAAGCTGGAGGACAAAACCTTTGCCAAGACTGGTTGACAGTGGTTGACATTGAACAACATTGATTGCGTGACTTTTGATGGCATAGATTGAAGAATGTTTGAGTGCACCTCCCATGCATAGTAGCGGCTTTGGGGCCGGCTCTTCCATTCCTGGTAGCAAGCGGTCGACAGCCGAATCCAAAAAGAATGGCACCAAAAAGAAAGCACAAGCAAGGACTGGAATGTGAGATCTGATGGATCTCAAGGACCAAGTTGTTCAAACATAGCACCGTCATTGTAAGCCAGTGACAGGCTATGTAGCAATGGCTGGAGTCGACGAAAGTTGAACCATGTTAAAGCAAATTTCAGGCTGACCACGCCCATGACCGTGAAGCAACATGCAATGACCACAGGTGACCGTCACCGTCTTACTCTAAGTGACAGTGACTGCCCTGACCGCCGTGACCGCCGTGACCGCTGCCTGACCTCTAAACCATTGGCTCGATCCAACTCCATAGCAGCTGCCTGGGGCACAGGCATACTAACATGCTGGCAGCAAGCTTGCACCAACTAGTGCCAAATCATGCCACATCCATGTCACTCAGCGAGCTTTCTTCCACCTGATGATTGCTTTGTGTAGATCATCGCTAGTCGCTAGTCACTAGTGAATTAATGAGTTTATGATGTCCTTTGGGCCCTTCATAGATGCACAACCTACGTATACTGCCGTGTCAAAGGATCAAACACTGGAGTTCCAAATCAATCAAGAATGTACCAGTGCACACCTTTCTTTCCTTCCTCTTTCTTTCTTAGTCTTTCTTAGTCTTTCCTTTCCTCATTCTGCAGTTTGGACGACCTGGCCTTGTACTCCTTCATGGTCCCAGCTCGTAGCATCCACCACCGCGCACGGCGCGTCTCCGAGGCGGCACACAGCCACTCGGTGGCATGGATCAGCGCGCGGATGGCAAAGTAAAGCACCAGGACCACAGTAATCACCTGAGAAGATCTGTAGCCTTCATGGCGATTACTGTGATATGCATGATATATCACCTGAGATCTGTTCTATATCACCTGGCATTCTCAGAACATGCATCTGTTTTACTCTTTTATTCTGTAGCCTTCTCCGAACCGGAGTCGAGTAGGCTTCAGTAAGCGAAGTGAGCTTAAGAAGCTACAAGGACGCAAAATCGGTCACGCTTCTTCAAGGAAGCTCCCCCCGCCTGGGGGGAAGCTTCTTTGAAGAAGTGCTCGCACTAATGATTTGGTTCCTAGATTTGGAGGCAATTTTAGCCCTCACCATTCTACGCTAGTCTGTTCTTCCTCATTTTCGTTTGGTTGGTCATGTGAAGCTGTTCCTTTGTGACCCTTTGTGCCAACTGGGGCGAAGCTTTGAGAATCTTTCGAGGTCTTGTGGCCAAACTAGCCAAGCTAAGCCCGCACCAGAAATTGGAGCCAAATGCAGCTGTGTCACTGCACAAGCACAAGCAAAGAGTGGCCATCGTAAGAGCATGTACGCAGAGGGTAGCATCGCTCTGATGCTGTGTGCAGCCGTCCGGGTTCTGGACAGAAGCAAGTCAAAGCATCTTTGTGAAAAAGCACTGAAGCATGCAACACCATGCCAACAGTTCCAACATAGAAGGAATACTTCCGAAATGAACGACCTGCTGACCTTCCAATTCCTCGAGCACTGCTCTTACAATTTCCTATTGCATCCTATTGCTACGTCACGGTGGGTTCCAGCCCGACCCCGTCCCACCAAATGCCAACCAGTACCGTGTCATTACTAGTAACAAAGGGCATCGCTACTAGGAGCTTCTTGCTACTAGTAGCAAGGCCAGGAGCTACTAGTAGCTTCGGCTCCCAGTAGCGATGTCCTTTGTTACTAGTAGCGTCCTTTCTGTATTTGTTTTTTTTTCTCTGCTCTTGTTTTCTTTGCCTTCTTCCTTCCTTTCTTCCCTTCCTAAACGCCCAAAACTGCCGGCCTCTTCTTACGGCTGGCAATTCGTGCATCGTCTGAGGCATTCCGGGGAGATTTTAAACCTAGCACTCGCTGCGGGTACACAAGCTTGTGCTTATTCAAGTCTGTCGAGGGCCGAGGGCATAGACTCATATAGACAGTAACAAAATCAAATAGGGCTATATAGGACCCGCCTTAAAGAAAAAACAAAAGCAATATCCGGACCGTCTAAAAACTTGTCCTGCTACATTCCCGCATTCTGATTGCAACAACTGGCCCCTGTCGTGCTTCGTTTCAGCGAAGACACACCGCCCTGGTCGTGCCACCGCGTCTGCTGTGCATTTGATGCTGTCTTCCCCAAAGCGAGACATTTGCACCAGGACAATCCGATGCAAAGTAGCTCACAATCCAAAGCTTATGCATGCTTATGCAATCTGCCTGTTGCCTGTTACCACTGTTTGTCCTTGAGAACACGTGCGATGGGCGATACTTCGCCTCGCCACAAAGATTCAGGTCATCCGCCTTGTAAAAAGGCATCTTTACATCTAAAACACACACACACACACACATCTTGAATATGCCTTTCAACATACAAGATAGATATGCCGATTCAGGTCATCTTTAATTTACATCCTGAGAGTTTCACTTTCTCGCTTTGAGCCGGTTGACTCCGAGGTCGGAAGGTCCAAGGTCACCGGTCGACCGGTCGCCGTGAGTTACGGTCGTGCCGTCGCGTGAACGCCTCTTTTCGGGGCGCCTCTCTTGTCCAACTCCTTGGAGTCAGTGGTCCTAGTAGTAACAAGTGCATCGCTAGTAGTAACAAGTGCCTTACTAGTAGAAACAAGAAGCTAGTAGAAACAATAAGCTAATAGCTTCTTGCTCCTAGTAGCGATGCCAGGAGCCCGTAGTAGCTTCTTGCTCCTAGTAGTAAGGCAAGGAGCCCCTAGTAGCTTCATGGATATTCATGGGTACCTCCATTGGTTTTGCCGTTGCAGTGTCTTGGATTGACGTAGCCTGCAAGCAAACAGTTACAGCACCGCACGCGAATGTGCTTGGCCACCAGACTTGTTGCCTTCCGCAATTCTGTCTTGAACCTAAATTTCGCATGGACATGAACTGAACTTGAGGCCAAGGGGGGGGGGGCGAAAGCTAGCGCTCCAGAATGGGAAAGTGGAGGGCAGCGAGGTAGGAAAAAACACGGCGCTCTTTTTGGAGGCAGTCGCACGGAGTAGCAGAAGGCGGGACGGCTTGCACAAGTTGGGCGGGGCAAACGATTCCAGGTGAAGAGTCCTTTATATGTGGCTCTTTGCCCGGATCCTCCTGCGAGAGAAGAGAGAGAAGAGAGACGGAAAGACGAGAGACAGAGAGGAGAGAGAGAGAGAGAGGAGAGAGAGATGAGAGAGAGATGAGAAAGAGATGAGGGAGAGATGAGAGAGATGAGAGAGAGATGAGAGAGAGAGATGAGAGAGATGAGAGAGAGAGAGACAGTGAGAGTGAGAGTGAGAGTGAGAGTGAGCGAGTGCGGCCGCAAGATACGCAACGCTAACCGCATGCCAAAGAGCGACGACAGGACGGAGTCGAACTTGCGAAGAGGGAGGAGGGAGGGAAGGTGGGAGGAAGACAGTTTCAGCCACCTCGTGTGCACCTCAACCCGGACCAACGGTCGTCTTAGGTGCGATCTGCTGTCCGTCGTCTTCCACTTCAAGGATCTCAAGTTGGAGGTGATGCGGCTCCGACCGACCAATGGAGCTACACTCCCAAGTGAAGAGTTCCTTTATATGTGGCTCTTTGCCCGGATCCTCCTGCGAGAGAAGAGAGAGAAGAGAGACGGAAAGACGAGAGACAGAGAGGAGAGAGAGAGAGAGAGAGGAGAGAGAGATGAGAGAGAGATGAGAAAGAGATGAGGGAGAGATGAGAGAGATGAGAGAGATGAGAGAGAGAGATGAGAGAGATGAGAGAGAGAGAGAGACAGTGAGAGTGTGAGAGTGAGAGTGAGGGGGGGGAGAGGGGGGGGGGGCTTCGACCTGAAAAATCAGGGGTTAGGATTTGCACCCGATCGAAAGAAACCTTGCTATCGCAAGAGTAACTCCAGCTAGCTTCGCTAGCTTTCGTGACAAATCAAGTTTGTAAATGTGAGGCATTGGCTTTGACTGCTGCTACTGCTCATCTGATCTGGCGCACGAAACATGGCGAACTCACATCTGACAGTGTGTACAAACTCCTAGTGTGCGCAATTGTCAACACCCATTGCAGAACGCAGGGAGTGACCCTTCACAATGACCAGGATTACAATGACCCTTGACTTGTTGACTTTTTGACTTTCAGTCTTTCAAGACTGGTAGCCGGTGTGTTCTTTCACCTAAGATGTCGCGTTTCACGGTGTGTTGGAAATAACGCCATTCCTGAGCCCTGGCGCTGGTCCAAGAGAAAAAGGGACTCCACATTGAAAGGATCCTGCTAAATCAATGAGGTCAATGCAGTTTTTGCGAAATCACGTGTCTGAAGATTCCAGGTTGGAGGCCATTACTAGTAGGTTGGAGGCCACCTCTACTAGAAACAAAGAATGAAAACAAGGAAGAACGGTCTAACATAGTTTGCTTATTAGGTTGGAGGCCACGTGTCCGAAGATTCCTGCAAGGGTTGCATTGCTTTTCTGACCCCCAAGGGCCCCAAACTACTTCAAGACGCTTCACTTGTTTATTTCCAAGCCACTCCTAATAATGGAAATAGTTGCGATTCCTCAGGAGAAATGAGGGAACTTCGCTTTAAAAATCCTTGGTCTTTACAAATCCTTGGCAGTAAATAGGTGCGCATCAAACATTGAACATTAGGGGTGTGCCACTGGGTGTACCATTTCTCAAACAGCTTCGAACAAAGCCAAGCGCTGCCAATGCTTTATCAGTCGGCTCCTGGGATATTCGGCGCCATGCATCATAGACCACCTAGGAGCAAGCACGCTACTAGGAGCAAAGGACATCGCTACTAGCAACAAGGGGATTACTACTAGTAGCATTCTTACTACTAGTAACAAGAAGCTAGTAGTAACGAAAGGCATCGCTAGTAAGAGCAAGGACGCTACTAGTGGCTCCTGGCCTTACTAGTAACAAGAAGCTAGTAGGTTCGAGGCCATCGCTACGAAGGGAGCATTCTTACGACTGTTCAAGGGACAAGTCGCTTAGTAGTAACAAGAAGCTAGTAGTAACAAGTGCATCGCTACTAGTAACAAGTGCCTTACTAGTAGTAACAAGAAGCTAGTAGTAGCAAGTGACAAGTCGCTTCTCAAAAAATCGGCGGCCCCAATTCGGCGCGTCCTAAGGCTCCACGCCCGGCTCTCCAACTCCCAGGTACGTCCAGGTAGAGAGGCCTCAAGTGCAATCAAATGGTGCCGGGCGCAAGGCATATGATGTATCTGTATCTGTCTTTAAGTATATATATGATATATAATACATATGTGTGTGTGTCATATGTAACCATAATTTATGCAGCATGCATTGCAGCATGCACATTTATGTAATCACTATTTGCAGCATCTTTGTGGCTGTTGTGATCTTATGTTGTCTTATGGGTGGTGCATGTTTCTGCATGGAACTGGATTCAAGTTGCTCTTCATTCACAGAAGACCTTCATTTCTTCCTCAGCTACTAGTAACAAGGGCATCACTACTAGTAGAACTTCGGCTGTGAAGCGTTGCCTTTGCCGTTTGAGGATCACATCGCAAAGTGTCGGCTTGTTGGACGAAGTGCTGAGCACTGACTGTGCTAGCTTCTTGTTCCAAGTAGCGATGGCCTCCAACCTACTAGCTTCTTGTTCCTAGTAGTAAGGCCAGGAGCCCCTAGTAGCGTCCTTGCTCCTAGCAGCGATGCCCTTTGTCACTAGTAGCTTCAAAGGCCAATTGGCACTAGTTTTAGCTGAGTGCGCCAGCAGTATGCCATGGCCATTGCCAAGCGTTGTCAACCGTCAACTACCTCCTAGAAACAGAGGCACTCATCAGGCCGACATCTTCGGCGCCGACGTGCATCGCGATGCATAAGGATTCAACGATGCCTTTGGCGGCAGAAATAGACAAAGATGCGTTGAATTTCCTAACTTCACCAAAGCCACCCTCCACATTCTCCTCAACGTGTTGGGAGCCTGCTTGGGAATGGCAGTGGTAAACAACCCCGTCCTGTAGGGCAAAATCGGATAGGTTGTCAAAGCTGTTCTACCATTTTCTAGGCGCGGCCTCGCTTTACACACACGCCCCAAGTAGAAAAGCTACTAAACATCTTCTACGCGAGAAATAGCCTCCCCAAGAGGAAAAATCTGAAAACAAAACAAGAACAGCTCGAGCTTGTATGAACGCAGCAAGTCAACGCTTGCCATCTTCACACGAAGCTTGGTTTCCTCTTGCGGGAATTGCAGCAATGCCCTTTGTAGACATGCAGCTGCGGTCATTCGCATTTGGAAGGGGCGAATGAAGAACCGGCCAACATTGCCAAGATGGGTAACAAGCGGGTATGAATGCCCCTGCCTAGATTCTCGCGCCTGCGGCAAGAGTTATCAGCAACTGAGAGGATGTTCGTACTTAGTCCAAAGATGTCCAAAGCCCTTGGGAATTAACGCCTTGCTCAAATTATTTCTAAAACAAGAAGCTATTAGTAACAGGTGCCACGCTAGTAGTAAGAAGTGCCTTACTAGTAGTAACAAGAAGCCATTAGAAACAACCTTTTGCAACACCACCTACCAATTAGAGACGCTGGGAATTCTACTCGCCTCGATGAATCGGAAGGACGCCCGTCAGCTCCGGGGTTTCAAGACGCTCCATGCGTTGGAAGAAAACCAGTTCCAATCATGAAGGAGCCCCGTTTGTAGCTTCTTGTTACTACTAGTAAGGCACCTGTTACTAGAAGCGATGCACTTGTTCCTAGTAGCGTCCTTGCTCCTAGTAGCGATGCCAGGAGCCCCTAGGAATCTGGGACTTTTCATAAGCAAGGTCGCCACAAGGTCTGCAGGTTTCCTCCAACTGGCCTTGAGGATCTTTTTTGTCGGACTCGCCAAGTAGGTCTTGCCCTCTCTGACAAAGAGTGATGTTCGTCACAGTTGCTGGTTGCTTTGCTTTCTTCACATTCTTGCAAGCACTTTTCGAAAGAAGACCGGGTAAGGAACATCTGAACAGTGATCGTGCTACTAAACGACAACACCATCCGAAAAAATAGAAAAACACGTTGCAGCTCAATGCCGTTCGACCGCATACAATTCAACGATATTTACGAAAGCTGCTTGTCACCCAGACATGTCGAGGACTGTCTGTTGCAGTTGCTCGACCGTTTGCGTAAGGCTTGTGATCGCCAGTCGGATCTTGTGCAACTCATCAGCTTCAACCTTGGATGAACGCTCTAATATACTGCAAGATGCTCTGAGCACAAAGAGTATACAGAAGTGTTTGAGAAGTATCCCAAAACATCCAAAGCCAAAAAGTCATCAAAAGCAAATCACAATAAATGCAAACAAATCTGACATCTGGTTTGAACACGGCGAACATCAGTCAAAGCCACCAATACCGTGGCTTGATTTGGACCTGCACGCCCCGCTGGCACCGCAAGCGTGCTTGAGGGCTCTATGCTTGTCAGTGAAGCCGCTGTACTAGTGATGCTGCAAGTGGAGGACCTTGGAAGGTTAAGTCTGACACCATTGTAGCACGATCATCTTGACTTCCCTAGTTGATCTCTTAGTCCCTAGTCAAGGGTGATGCTGGTCTGTGCATGCCTGAGACAATTTCAGGGTTGGTGGGCGGGCGCAGTAAAAGCAAAGCGCCACGCAAAGACACCAAACTGTTCTTCAAGGTCCTTGGCAAGAGGCTTGCGTGCAAAGAGATCCTCCACCTTTTGACCCTGCAGCATGCCACACCTAGGGTTGGGTTGCCAAGCGACTTCTCTCAAGTTTCCGGAACTAGTGTTTCTTTCTGCGTTTCCCTTGTTTTTTGACTTACTGTACATGACATTGCGACATTGTCCCGACACCCGAATGGGATGCCTCGACAAACAACCTGACAAATGTTCAACTAGTGTGCAAAAACATTTGTAACTGTACGATTCCTCTTGGGAATGCCTTTGGAGGTAAGGATGAGGTAATGTTAAAATATGTTAAATACGAGCTCCACGTCCTCACGGCTGGGATGAACACAATCGAATCGGCCTCTTGTTGTGCCAGAAAGGTACGCACTACAGTGGTCCAGTTTCTGTGTGCAGTGTTCCAACTTGAGCTGAAACTATTTAAACAAAATCGCAAAGTCCAAAAGCTGTCATGCTATTGTGTGCTTGCTTACGTCTCCTGGAAACTGGTGGATGGTCTTTGCAAAAAAGGATCTCGGGGGGGGGGGCAGCGCAAATGGATCTTGTCAAGGAGCACCAGGGATTGACGCAGCTCGTCTGGCATGGCCGTGAAGTTCGCCTCGTTCGAAACGCCGACCAAACTTAGCCTCTAGAAGCAATGGCCTCCAACCTAGTAGCGTCCTTGCTCCTAGTAGCGATGCCAGGGAGCCCCTAGTAGCTTCTTCCTCCTAGTAGTAAGGCCAGGAGCCCCTAGTAGCGTCCTTGTTCCTACTAGCAATGGCCTCCAACCTAGAAGCAAAAGGAATCCAATAGCAATGGCCTCCAACCTAAAAGTGATGGCCTTCAGCTTCATAGCGATGGCCTCCACCCTAAGAGCAATGGCCTCCACCCTAAAGGCTTTTGAACAACGGACAGTTGGCTGTCTGCATCAAACCTTTCATCTAACGATTCCAGCTTTACCTCAGGGATTGTGCCTTACTTGTGCCATCTTTTGTCCCAGGAATCTGACAAAAACGGTCAAGAAGACTCTTCCGTGTCGAAGGCACACGTTGATGACGCTGCATCCGCGAAACCTCCCGGCCGATCTTCACCATAGCCTCAGCTGGACCGAGGAAGTGGTTTCGGATTCATGATGTCAACATCTGGTTAAACTCACCATAAACTATAAAGCTGATTTCTGCTAAGCAATTCTCAAATCTGAATCGATCTATCACTACCCTGAAGCAAAGCCAAACGTTTTCCACATATATATGTCTGGTAACATATATTCACATATATATATAAGTTTTGATATATTGTATGGTTTATATGCTTTTTGTGTCCCAATTCATCAGATTGAAAACCAGCGTTGGGAGTTGCTTGGCTTTATTTCGAGATAACTATATACTCATCAACACTTAACTAATATGGGTTTTATGATTTCTCTACTTTTTGTTTTCCGCTGGAATTTGCATAGCTTTTCTTCTCTTTACTGTGTGTTTTGCTGATTTAACATCATGTGGCGGATTCAGCAGCAATTTTTTGGTGATCACAGTGTATTTTTTCAGTGTCTGTGATTTGCCAGGTCATTTTGATTGGTTTGCATTGGAATTTGAACAAATTTTACCTTGTGCAAAACATAACTAACCTGTGATTGCTCTAAATTATGCACCGAGAATCTTAAGCCTTACTTGGTGTTTGGGGCTTTCATCGGTTCCTTCTTTGAATTCCTTATGAATTCCTTTGTGCTTCATGTTGTAACTAATACTAACCCCCTTTCATCTCCGTTCCAGAAATGAGAAAAAAACTCCCTGCTCAATACTAACCCCCTTTCATCCCCCCTTCATCTGCATTCCAGGAAATCTACCCCCACCCAAAACACTTGTAATTTAAAGCAGTTGTTTAAGGTTTATTTGGAACTGGAATTTGAGGGTTCCCCTGTTTTTGAATGAAAGGTGGACATTGCCTTCAGCCTTCGGGATGTTTGTCCGGGTGCTGCCAGGGTCTCTAACTTAGAAGCATCTTCAAAACACCTTCGTCACTGCAGCAAGCTGAATAAAAACGACGATCAACTAATTTCACAGTCGAAGTGCTTTTCCGAAACGCCTGCAACTACGTCTGTTGACGTGGTCTTTTTTGTTGATCACCATGTGAGAAAGCAAACTAAATGACGTGGACCACCTGTTCCATCCAAGGCAACGCACTTGAACGCGAAGCGGATTTGCCACCAGCGAAGAATGGAACGGCTCTTCTGGCTCCGAACTGCATCCATCAAATCCTGACAGAACCAAGCAGAAACGGGAGACACTAGGTCGCTCGGTTTTACTTGATATTAACTATTTTTGACCCTTCCCGGGACTTAGACTGGGTTGCCACCCGATGTCCAAACATCGTCGACTTGGAGCTCAAGGAAACCTTTGAATCTGTCTAAAGCAAATCGGAATGTAGAGGAAAATTGGTTCGAACACACTGGAAAAATAGATCCACCGAAATAGGTCTAGAGAGGACTTTGTTTTCAAAAACTCTACTAAGTTGAAGGAGAACCCTTGGCCTCCTTTGGCCCTTCAACCTGAGT